TTTAATAATTCGAGAAAATTAATTAACATTAATATCATTTTTTTAAATGTAAATTCTGTTTATGAAAGGAATAAAGATAGGATATGTTTTTAATCTAGTTGCCTTTTTTAATAAAGAAAAACTTTGTGAAGATCATTTGCAAGTTGAGTAAATTGCCAATATTATGCAAATGAAATTACTCCTAACAAGTTTGCTCATTCCTCGCTTTCATTGATCTGAAAGATCAATCAGAAAATAACTACATCCATGTTGACTTTTCATCAATTATTATTATTATTCTATCTCTTAACTAACGCATTAAACAGTTTTCAAAGAAAACAACAAAATCTTTCTCCAAATAAAATAAAAATATTCACATTTCGAAGAGCAAAAACTTTTAAAATTAATTAATGCATCGATTCTATCATTGTTATTATTGGCAATCTTGTAATTAAATCAAATTCATTCAAATTCTTAATCATACCTTCCTTAAATAAGTTATTTTATATGCAAATATTATATCAAAATCTTTTTCGGATAAATTAAATTTTGTAAGTAATAATTTTCTTTAGGATAACTTTATAATTTCACCCGATATCTTCGTGACTGCTATGAATGATCACTAACGAGATAGAAAGAGCCATATTCCTATTAAATGATCTTACCTATTGCTGCACGTTTTGAATTAATAGAATAGAATCCATACATTTTTGAATAAGTTATGTCGAATTTACATTGGATATGTTTTCCTATGACTATTGTTTGAATTAATAAACGTCGAACGATTATTCAAAGTGGATCACGGATTGGATTATATTCAACATGCTAACACGTAAAAATCGTGAAAGTTGAATTATAAATTAAAAAAAAAAAATGAAATAAAAACGGTGCNATTCGTTATAGATAATTTGAGCATTTTATATCTTAAAAAAAAAATAAGCTTAAAACTCGAAAAATATTAATCAAATAAATACGTTTTTCATAAATTCTATTACTTTTATCGATCCGCTGGATGGGAACCACAACGGACATCTCTGTTTTTCCAGGGTCTGAGGAAAAATCCCCAGTTCCTTCTTTCGACGACCCTATTCTGAAGAATTATGCTATAAAATATAGAGTTCTTTAGAAGGTAAGAATTGTACATTTTATAGTACGGTTCCACAGAATCACATATCAGTAATATTATATTATTTGTTCGATTTATTATGTTGTTTTCATAAGGTTTATGTTGTATTTTATGTTTTCATCAAACTACTTAGTCCTCTTATTGTGATCGATTATTGTATAACCTTCTGCCAAAGACAGTTTAGACTATATCTTTTATATTAATCCTCCATTTCATAAAGTCTGCTCTTTCTCTCATACTCTATTAGTTCGTATGATTCGGTTCTCTTCTTGTTATTTTGAAAATTTCATAAATCATCGAACAATACTTTGGTTCGATTGGTAGATATTTTCTATAATATTCTTAATCTTTTATATATGATTAGAAGAAATCTCGCCGTTATATTTTTGAAGGATATTAATGTGTATATATATTTATTTAAGACAAGCAATTGTTGGAAAGCTTAAGAGCATCCATCACAATGATTGGTATGGGCAACAGCAATCCAAGAGATAAAAGAAAAATATAAGAAGAAGAAAGATTAAAAAGAAAATAAAGAAATCAATTGTTGATTTATAAATTAATATTATAGATAGGAAATATATATAAAAAATAAATTTAATAAATGAAAGAAAAATAATTTGATATAAAAAATATATTATCAGAGATAAGTAAGAGAATTGGAAATGTATAAAAATAGGAAAACATCATAAAATATATTGCGATAAGTATCTAAACAAGTAATTTTTGAAATTAATAACGGAAAAACAACATTTATTCAATTACAGGTAACTCTCGATCTTTGTGAGGATTGGGTTCCTTAGAAATCTCGCCAATACCAAATAGGTAGGCTTTCTCGAGAATATTTAAACATTTGCAGATGATTCAATTAGCAATGATAACAACTAAAGTTTATTTTCTTCATAAGTTTAATTATATTAAAAACATTAGTATTACATTTTATGACGATTGTGGAGAATTTACAATAGTTTGGAAAAACTGGGTTAATGTTCTTGGCCGACTTTTTTTTTATTCGTGTTCTTTAAGACTTCAACATACGGAAGCCAGGCTGCTTCCAAAGCTTACTTAAAACTGAGATTGCGCTCAGGAATAGGGTCTGATTCTTGCAACTCCTTGCACAAGCTATCAACAGTACTGTATACTTTTGAAAGCTTGGAAGCTGTCGTTGGCAGCATTTTTTCCTCGCTGTCGTGCAGATTTTCTGTAACCATCAAGTCCAATTTCTCATTTGTGTGCTCTGCAGCAATCTTGTATAGTAAGTTCTTAGCATTTTCTATTTACAAGTCCTCAAACCTCTCACCGAGTACCTGATTTGCCATCTTTTAAAAGTGCTAGATTTATTGATATTTAGTCCTATAGAAGATGTAATATTTCTAAAGTGGAAAAAAAATGTTTCGAAATTAATTTAATTTTATAAAATATTTACATTATCATCATTTTATTATAATATTATCATTTGAAGTTTGTAAAACAAAGAGTAATAATGGTCGCTAATTCTTTAAAATATTTTAATTATTAAAAAAAAAATACATATATAATTCTATACTTCACAATACTCAAGTTTCATCTTTCGTTTTACATTCGAATATTTGAATAAAAATTTAATGTTTATTTTTCTTTAAATAACAAAATTGTAAATTAAGTAAATTCAATTAGCGATATTTAAACACATTACTGTTTTTTTTTCTTTTTTTTAACAGATTTGATAACGAAGTTTAAAGGTTGTTTCTGTATTTTTTATTTGTGATGCCACAAATATATTTACATTATATATTGATAAAAATATTCTAAATTACAAATAACTTAAATGAAATTTTGGGATTTTAATCACAATTTAGATTATAAATTATATATGAAGAAATTTATTTTATTTAACAGAAAGCCTAAATAATATAATAATATTTTAATATAAATTTAAGATTTTTAATATTAATTTTTCGAAATTTTAACTCATCAATCTCTAAATTTTATTATATTTAAGTGTAGGTTAAAAAAAAAATTGTTTTGCTATAATGGTCGATCATTAAAGATTGATTTTTAAAAATTAATGATTTAGAAGCATCTCTTTTTTTTAATTTAAAAAAAAAAAATTTAAAGTTTAATTTTACTCAAAGGAGATTGTATCAGTTGTCATTATAATTTTTATACCGTTGGGAATTTTCGAATATTTTTAGAAATAGTTATGTTTCGATTATAATAAATTCAAGAAAAAATATCAAATAAATGGAAGTTGAGTATTCTCTTCCCTGTTTTTTTTTTACACATTAGTTAATCAACTTTTTAGTTAGCAGGAAATTATAATGAAAATAGCATCACGTGTCATTTTTCCACTATAGTTCTGAATCTATTTATTAATCTAACTTTAAAAAGTCGTTAGATGAAAGAAGGGAAATAAATGAAGAGTATGCAACTTTTAATTAAAGGATTTCTAGGAAGGAAAAAACTAAACTTTGGTTTTATGAGGGAGAAGAAGCTTTGAAAGCAGAAATGTCATTAGCAATGACTACATTTCTCTTCCTTTCGTTAAAAGTTTTGGGCGATGTTCATATAGTTCAATTCCCAAAATTGAAAATTGATTTTCTTTCACGCACTTTTCCAATAGAAATATAATTTATTCGTTATAGATAATTTGAGCATTTTATATCTTAAAAAAAAAAAATAAGCTTAAAACTCGAAAAATATTAATCAAATAAATACGTTTTTCATAAATTCTATTACTTTTATCGATCCGCTTTGATAGCATCGATTGACAAGTTTTTTGAAGTACTTTAAAATTACGGCACAGATTATTGAATAGAATTAATTTTATGGTTAAAATTTCTTTATATAAAATTAAATTTAACTATTCTGATATAAATTGTATTTAGTATTTGTTACATCGCTTAAAATCTAAGAGGAAAATAGCATGGAAGAACTTGAAGAAAATTGAAGAAAAAATATATAGAAAAATATTGAGGAGAAAGCAAAATGATGATGATATAATTTTAAAAAGAGAAAAATATTTGATATTAATTGAAATCGAAAGGAGTTGTGCTTACGGTTTAAGGTTTGAAGAATAAAATTTTTAATACAATAAGCTCTGTCTGTAATAGATTGAAGTATGGGATCTTGGCTTCCGTTCTATATATAGATTTATGGAATGCAGCGACCGAAGAAATACTTTTGCAGAATGTATTTTATATATCTCGAAGCTGACAACTGCAGCTTCCTTTTCTGTTGTCTGCCGTCAACAAGGAAGAATCTTACAGAATGCGAGTGAATTTTCTATAGTTCTCGTTGTAATCGGATTAGCGAAGAGAGAAGAGATCGGGTTGACCCTCAGAGGTTTTTCCTGCGCTTTTATATTCTTTTCAACATAAAAAGTTCCAGATTAAAAGAGAAAAAACGAAGAAAAGAAAGCACCCTACTGAATTAAAACCATTTATCCGATGGTTCAGTTCCTTTTCTATTGTTGGCAAAAATTGGAGAATTTATTTCTAACGTTCAAATAGTGAAAATAATTATCTTTTAGATTACATTTCGAAATTTCCTGGGTTTTTATGTCTTTGTAAGAGATGTTTTCCTTCCTAACAAAATGTAATGCAAATTTGTTTGTTATATATTTTTTCTCTGAGAAAATTTAAAATTTTGTTTTCAGTTTCAAAATACAAGAAAGAAAAATTTGAAGAAAGTTTTAAAGCTGACAAAGATGACAACAAATGATCATTGTGATATTAAGTCGAATAAATTACTTACTACTTAATAGAATTCAATTGCGGATTCTATTAAGTATTAACTAAACTGGTTGGAATTGTTGTTAAACAATACTTGCAAATTAACAATATCTTTATTGAGTAATTAAGGTGATAATTTATATATTATCTAAATGACGATATTCTATCCGGAAAGCCGGGAAAATAAGTTTAAATTTCTCACCAACTTGGTAAAATTTCAAGAGGGCATTTAGTGTATGCCCTATTAATATAACTCGGATATTAATGGCGATAAGCGGATCCCCGAAGGTCTACTCAATATTGGCTATCAATTTATCAATATACTATATTCAGATAAGATTTTGTATTCATGAACTCTTCGACTTTGTTTAAACCATAATTGCCAGCGGAAACTAGGTTTCAGTAAAGGACCAGTGAACATCGATCGCGACTCGGGTAGGAAGGATGTCCAAACTGGCCAATTACCAATTTTCTATCTGACTGCTATCCCAAAGGTACGTAATGACTGCAGACAGGAGGGGGCATTTGGCGGAAGTCTCCCGAGCACAAAGTCGGTCCTACTGTGTCTCCTGTGTCTCATTTTTTCTCTTCCCTAACCTCTTTATCCCCTGGGATTCTTTCCTCAACAGTCATCTAATTGATCCTATCCTGGGGAGTTTCACTTACATTAACTTGATGACCTGTACCAACCCAGGCAGCCGAAATCTGCACAGAAGATGAGAACAACACCGTATGAAAGAATGCTCGGTTTACAGGAATTTTTTTTCTTTTTTGTTTTTTTAACGAATTCCCAAAGGCTCTCCTATTGTTTAAACTAGTCGAATGATTTCTTTCTTTCTAAATCGACTTCTTTCGTTCCCTTTGTTCTAATAGAACATTACTTTTCTAAATTACTCCTCTTTAATGACTTTATTAATTTAAAGTACCCTCATTTCTTATCTTTTAAGGATCTTTTGTGGGTTTTATTTTATGTTTCGCAATACTTTTATGTGTTTGTTGAACCGAGTGCCTTAAACACATTTAACTTGATGTCTTCGCTTTAACGTTCTTATAGGAGCCAAGAGAAAGGAATCAAAATAGAAATATAAACTTTGGTATTTTAACAATTTTACTCCAGATAAGTCAAATTTCTCTTTCTAGCAAACGACGTGGGCTTCCACGAGAGAGAGAAAGAATTATAATTTTCTGTTTAGCCTCTTAAATCTCATCTGTATGCAGCACCCAATAAATGATTACGGTGTAGCTAACGTTTACGACTGAATATCTGGAGAAAGGAAGATCTTAATTGGGCCTGTTCATATCGCGAGGGTTTATTTTATTTAATTAAGCTTAATAAGATTAGCGTGGTCTTTATTGAAATAGATAAACATCTTTCCTACATGAGCCCAACTTAAACAGTATTTTAAAAAAGCAAAATTTTGAGTGATAATTTAGTGTTTACGAAAGTTATTTAGAATTTGATGTATCGAATCTTATAAAGAATAAGTTATAATCTACACAAATTACAGGTTTTCGACTAGAAAACTAAACCTTATGTCTTCCAAGCTCTAGTTGTATATTCTTCTTCTTCTTTTGGTCTTTCATTAAATGAACCTAGTTTAATAAACGAGTTATTCAGGCAAACTAATGAACATTTTCATGAGTGTAGTTTAAGACCTATATAAATTATGAAAAATATAGTTATATAAAACATTAAATTTTCCCTGGGAATCATTGACATAGAAATGTATCCATTTGCATATTTGGAACAGGCCTATAACGAATCGACTGACATAAAGATAAGAATGCAAGGTAAAATTTAATTTAAAAGTTTGTAGTCACCTCGTGCCCAGGAGTTTCTTTCAAGTAAGTTGTAAAGAGGTAAACTCAATAACTATTCGAAATGCCAGTAATCCTCCTGTGTAATTCTTCAAAATCTTTAATATCCATTTTCTTTCTGGAACAATTCATTGAGTTTAATTAACAACAGAGACTGGAAATAAATACTTGGAAAATGGGAGGTAAAGAAGAAGTCGACAGTAATGACCAAGTTTATCAATTAGCACATTCTCAGCGGAGGGAAACAGAACTAACAAAGAGTATCTCTCATGATACGGTTATATAACAAATACCTTCTCTGATGATGCACACGTCCTACTGACTGAGAAAGACCTCCCCTAATGGTTCCCGAGAGGGACTAAAGAGATTAAGCGAGCCGTACAAGATGCATTAAAAATCGTTGTGTTTTTCTTTCGAAAGTGACAGCGGTTTGTTGACAATTCCCAGCTCACCACAGTCATTTGACACTTCTCTGTAATTTATATAGATAGGAAAAGCGGAAAACATTATTCTTCCAATGTTTAATAGCATTAAGCAATCTTTAACTCTGTCAAATTGTTAAACACACGCTCATCGTTAGAGTTTTTAGATGTACAAAGTCATAAAAATGACATATGATGATGACGGTTGAAGGGGAATTAAACAGAAAAAAATCATCGTCCGCTTTCAAATATTGATTTCTCTCGGATAAAAATCTGTCTTTGAATGATGATTTGTTTTACTTACAATGGATGCTTAATACCGGAATTGGAAACACTTTCTAATTAAATTATATCCGAGATATGTTTCGATAGAAATCCGAGTGCAGAGGCTGATAAAAGAGAAGAAACTATTATGTTTTTCAAATCATATTTCTGTACTAAGATTTATAGGTCAATTTCTTAAATACATGGTAAAATAGTTTGGCCAAGTCGTGCCAACAGTAAGTTAAGGTTGGACAGACATTGCACAACTGTGTCAATCTCTGGGGGACGACTCAGGTAATCTCGTTTACTTTCTCTGACACATTGGGGAAGAGCAAGCTAACGAGTTGTGGGAACAATAGGATTCCCGGTAAAAATGCAATAATTTATCCTATACAACCTACTATAATTTAAATCAAAATCAATATTTAACTCTGCACGAGAGAAAATGTTTATAAACAATCATCAAAGTTAAGAAGTTAGTTCCTTTTTTTATATACAGTATATATTTTTAAACAAATGTAGGCAAGTAAAAGGTTAGAAAAAGAATCTTTTAAAAATCAATCAATCCCTATTCTGTGGAAAAGGAGATGGAAAATTCGTCGTTAATAGAAGATTCGGTCATCCGAATATTTTCATTGGAAACACCTGGAATTAAATATTGAAATGGAGAAGGGAAAAAAATTGCTGTTGTAGAAACTGGCCAGATAGAAAATTTAAACATCAGAGAAAATTTACATAATAATGTTAAGGCGACTGTTTTCTTATCCAATATCCAGGAATCGTCTTTCTGTTACCAAGAACGAGTAATTGCTTAAGAAAGAAAGGAGAAAAGTAAAAGTGTTATTGCGAAATGAACAATGCGTGAATTAAGTTGAAATTGTTTTACCATTTCAACCATTTCCCCCTTTTTTTCTTCTTCTTCTTCTTTCATCTTTTTTTCTCTTTCTTGGAATTTCTTCGGTTAAAGAAAAATACAGAACGCATCCATTATACTTTGTTAAAGAATTTGTGCTCATTTAAAGCTTTCATCGATCCTAATTAAAAAATATATCTTCGCGTATTAATAAATTAAAATTAGTAAAAAAAATATATATTAATTTCTTATAAAATCTTAATTAAATCTGAATATCTTATTATAATTTATATTTATTGATAGTTTATTAATTTACAAAGATATCAGTTAAATAATGAGTATAAAGTATATAAAGTAAGTAATAACTACTTTGACACCAAAAATGATAATTAAAATAAATAGAATTAATTAACAAGAGGAGTAAAATCTTTTTTTATTTAAAATATATATATGTATATATATATTTAAATAAGCAAGAAAAAACAATAAGATGAGAAATATTGAAAAATATCTTGCTTATGTGGGGATTTCTATTCTATCGATTTGTTAGAATTCTTGAAGGAGAGTATTTCAAAATAAGAATTTATCCAAGGTTATATCTTTGGAAATTTTAAGCTTACAAAAGTAAAATACTTTTGAAATATTGTTTATTTGTCTTGTGTATATTATGATTTGTTAGAGTTTTACAGTTATTTGAAAAAATGGGTAATAGGGTACATTTAGCATTTCAGAATGTACAAAAGATGAATAAATAACAAGAATGTGATATTTGGTGAAGTTATGGAAAAAATACTAGAAATAAGATCCCCGGGTATGGAATATCGTGGAAGATATATAGATCCTCTGTACAACATGCAGGATATACTGCCAGGGGAAAGAAAATTATTACGTCCTGATGAACGAGAGAGGGGAGAGTTGATAGCAATATTTATCAACACTTGAACATGCGCTAGAAAAACAGGAAGTGACCGAGAATAGTAATAATATCGGAAGATTTTTCTGTCAAATTCTCAAGAATTGTTAGCCATTTCGATCTAGAAAAGATGACCAATAACTGGACAATATAATCTGAGATATATGTAGAATAATTTTATCTGGTCAAACTTAAATACTCGAATTGTAAAATAAACTAGAAATGTGGTGTATAATATTGCCTCGGAGTGCTGTCAAACAAAATTTTAGAAAAGAATCATCAAGGGAGTTTCATATACGTTTCCTGTAAGTAAATGCTATCTGAGTAAAATACATTTAATCTGTCATATTTTTTCTACAATATCCGATATTTAAAAAATATTTTCAAATTTATTGATACAAAATTGAAAATAATTATTGACATTTAAAATTTTAAAATAGTCAAAAATGAATATTAATTATTTGAAAATAATTATCAATTAATTTTAGAAGATTTTCTCTCTTTAGGAAGTAATGATCAAATGTAGTAACATTAGTGACGCGACAACAAGTCTCCCAATTTGGAAATCTGGTTGTTCCCTCCACCCAGTACTTAATAGGACGTTAGTTCGTTGTAACAGTTCCTCTTTCCGTTTGTGTCTAATAAGTTAATGCGCTTATGTCACCCCGTCACTTTATCCTAATGTTGGGCCAGATGCATACTTCCTCTGGTTCTTTGAATTAATCTGGGTGGGAATATTCCTGTATTCTTTGACATCCAGTCACGTTTTCGGTCGTGATGTCACGTGCTCTTTTAGTTTATCCGGATGCACCAATCGGTGAATTTAAGCATCGATTTGTGAAATGGAAAAGTTCCTGTAATATAATAAGGGACATGTTTTTGGCCGATTGGAAAAAAAGAATTGCGGATGTATATATACGCTTCTACAGTTGTGATTTAATAATAATAATATTTTTTAGTTTTTTTTTAATAATAGATAATGAAGAATATTATTTTTAATCATATTGTAGTATTATATACTTGACTTCTAAATCTATGACGTGTCGAAAGAAAAAAAAGTTATAAATGAAATTGTTACGGATTGATAATTCCGTGATAAAGCATAGCAAAAAAAGTTGGCAGACTTTTTTTCATAGCAATCAAGATACAGTTTCTGAACAACATGTGTAAGTGAAAGGATGAATGAAATGACAGTTTCAGAACAATAGGTTGATGAGCACGTGC